AGCCATTGCCAATGTCTCAGTCTCGTAGACTGTCTTAGTGGTGGTTGTGTGTTTCGATTGGTTCACACGAATTTGCACATCCCGCCCAGCACCAGCGACGGCCAATGCTCTCGCAACGGCCTCACTGACTGCTGGATCAGCAGGAGTCACTGCTCCAGCTGCACGGAGCTCTTCTTCGAGTTCACGAAGACGTTGAACCGCTTCGGAATGTTTGGCGTCACCTGCAGAGGACATCTTCAACGATCTGAGAGTGAAGAGCAGCTGGCTGAGCACAAGCTCCGCCTCCGACGGAGCAACCTCGTCCTCTCCCTCGTCGACCTCAAGCAGCGGCTCGTTGGTGGCAAGTTTGAAAAATTGAACAAGAGGAACTCCGCGGGGATCAAGTTCGAGAAGAGCGGCGGCAAGAGAAGCGGAACGAGTACGTTCGAATTGTTTACTGGAAGCGATTGGTTCATCCTCATCGTCTTCTTGGTCCTGAGCCAATCCAGACTTTTCAGCACCACCTTCTTCCAAATAAATAGAAAATCTCCTTGGTTCCTCATGATCGTGATGCTCATTTTCAGCATGTTCTCCATCCCAAGACTCGGCTTGGAATTGGCTGGCTGAACTGACATGATGGATAGCTGGATGGGAAGTTCCATCAGATGGAACTGCACCGAATACGATTGGAGTGCCGTCGGAAAGGACTCCGGAGACGATAAAGTTGGCGGTAGAGGACATTTTTCAAAAAATGTGAAGGCAAGGAAGTGTTACGACGAGCTCTCTAAGAAGATTTCTGAAGATGATGGGCGGCCCGGGATCCAGTCTGGGGACCTGCGTCTCTGTTTCCATCAGGCAGCTGACCCCATGTTTTTCGTTTGTGTGTGCTCCCTCGCTCCTCCGAAACTCTCGGGGTCCCATCGGCTCACAAATAAAACAACACAAAAAAGAAGCAAGCAATAATCTAGATCATTCATAGGAAATATTGATTTGACCTTCATTATTTTCAAATCTAAATGAGGAAGAAACGAGGAAAAGGAACATAGAAGCTGTGTTGGGTTTTTAAAGATGTTTTCTTTTACGCTTTTTTGTAATTGGTAGTGATTGTGTTTTGGCAGAGTGAATGGTTGTGAAAGTGCAAGGAAGCAGCATGTATAAAGTTAATCAATATATAAATATTATTCATAAGAGAAAGGGGGAATATTGACGTCTTCAGGCTCTACCTTCTTCTTCTTCATCATGATCGTCAGGATGTTTCCGTTCTTCTGGTTCTTCTGATCTTGCTGTTGGGGAACCGAGTGGAGATTCTGAAATGGTTAGAATTCGAAAGTGCTAAAAGAGGGGTTCGTGCTTTGTAGAAGTTGTTAGGTCAAGCCCAAAAGGTTCCCAAAGCGATCCCCAAAGATTCCAGACTCCCTCTTACCGCTGATGTGGCTGGTGGTCACTGTCGTTGTGACAATGGTTCCATCATCTTCACGATGGCTTTCCGACTCTACGCTTTGTTCGACGTCTTCTGGAATCTGTTCCGAGGTGCTCTCGGCTACTACTGTAGAACGTTGAGCTGGTGATGGTGAGGACTCATCGGCCAAACGGTTTAGTTCTTCCCATCTGAAAATATTTTTGGGTTTTTAAAAATGTATGTCTTCTAGCTCACTTTTGCCGCTCCTCATCGTTCAATGGGACTGTGCGATCAACAATGTTTTCGTTAACTGCCACGTCATCTTCATAAGTCGTCGTGATGGTTCTCTCCTCGACGACTGGTCCGCTGTCAGTGTCATGAACATGTCGTTCCGTTCGGACAACAGTTCTCATTTCAGCGACTGGAGCTTCTTCTGAAAAATATCAAATGTGTCAGACTCACTCTGGTAATTCTTACCTTCGAACTCTGGTTCCTCTGGCACTGGGCTATGATGAACTGGAGCGGAATAGGATGGCTCTTGTGCTACCGTAGTCGACTGCTCGACATTATGAGTTTGTTGGATAGGTTCCCTCGTGACCAAGTCTTCTGTTCTGACTTCTCTCTTCATTAAAGTAGCAGCCGGAACGTCTTCAAAGTGTCTGATTGGTTCCCTCTTCTGACTTGGCGAATCGGCTTGACTGTAGTTGATCAACGCTTCTGGCTCTCCGTAGGCAATCGATCTGACGATATCATCTCTTCCAATCTGTCTAAGGGCTAGGTCTAGATTGTCTTGAGTGGCATCTTCCTTCTTGAGATGAATCCAGATCTTCAATGTGTTCTTGCACTCTTGTCCCGGATAATTGTGCCTAATGTGCTGAATATCGCGGTGTGGGACTTCGAGAGCACGTCCAAGTCTTGGCCAATCTGCTCCGATTCCTTTAAGAACGTTTTGGTGGACGAATTCTGGGAGCTCTTTCTCCAAAGCGGATCCATATCGTTGTTCGAATGGAGTGGCATCCTTCTTTGGTGCTGGAGTTGCTTTGACTTCTCCGGTATATTCTGGAAGGGAGATGGCTAGAGTGCAAGTTGGTTGCTGTGGTGGAAGAGCATCAGATCTGATCTTTGGCTCAGCCATGAATCCGATTCTTCCTTCAGTGGCTGCTTCTGTGTCATCCTTTGATCTTGTCTTGACCATAAACGCCAATCTGTTTTCTTGGAATGGAAGGAAGAACAGAGATAGTTGATCTCCAGACTTGGTAATTGGCACCAAATTTCCAGAGAACTCAAGGAATTGATGTTTTCCTTTCAGCACTTCCACATCGCGACTCTTGGCAATTAACTTGAAATGTTCTTGTTTTTCCAATGTCTTATCCTCCTTGTCATCAGTCATGCAGAACACGCGAAGTTGTCCTTCAACTGGGAACGTCCTTCGGGCAAAGACGGCAAACTTGGCCATGTATGGAATTGAGATGGCCTCGTTGTACACTTCTTGTGCCATTCTGGCGGCGTCACGTGGCGTTTGACAGTCCATAAGCCAGAATCTGGCAGAGACTGTTGTAGTGAATGATACTTCATCTCCTGTGAATGTCAGTTGAGTTGTTCCAGTAATATCTTCCCATTGTGCTGGTGCAGAACCTCCAGTGATTGAGCACAACAATCGAAGAGTTGGTGGTTCTTGTCCTTGTTGTCCAGAATACTGAGTGAGCATTCCCTTATTGTTACTTTGTGGAAGTGGAATACAAAGGGTGATTGGCTTGTGGAACTTGCGACGACGTGGCTCAACGGTGACGATTGGAGACACAGCAACACGATTTCCATGTAGTCGAGTGACCATTTCTTGTGGAACTGGTTGAGCTTGAACTGACACCTTGATGGTCTTGGTGAGAGATCCATCTGGGAAGATTGCTTGGACACGTGGCACGACAGATGAAATGATGACTCCTCCTTCTGGTCCAACGCAGTGAACTTCCTGTCGAACACGAGTGACAACAGCAAAGTACATTGGGAAGTCACTGGTGAGTATTCTGGTGATTCTTGGAGTTTGGAGGTCGTCCAGTTGAGCAAGATCTTCCGCATCGAATGACTCGTTGAGCACTTCTTGAACTGCATCTTCTGTTGCCTCGAGTTGATGTTCTTTCCAGTGTTGTCCATCGTCGGATCTCAAAATGACGATTTCACGTTCACGATCTCTGAGTGAAGCGAAATGTGGAACTTCGAGGATGACTGGTCCCAAGAATTTGGCACCAGCTGGAGCCATCTCGAGAATTCGGGAAGCTAACTCTTCTCCCTCGCTGAGTGGTGGTGGATGGGCAAGCTTGTCCTGAAAAATTAATTACAGTTACAGTTTGGTATTATTGATCGTAGAAATTCGGATTCAGCCGATAGTCTGTTCGAAACTGATGTACTAACCTTTCTCAAATAACGGCAAGTGACACGAATCGGTTGCGAGGCCTTTCTCGGTGGAACAATAATTCTGACTCCAGAATGACGGCATCCACGCATCGCTCCTCCACGTGCGTCGACGAGGAATGAGATGAGGAAACTAAAAAGTAAAAGGATTAGATTTTGGAACAACGAATCCATGCGGATCTCCTGAAATTGCATGCAAAAGAGAGATAGAAAACTGAGTAACACGAGAAATGAGACAACACGATAACTAATTGGGCTTAGGGTGGCATGTATTCAGATTGATAGTCTGAATGAAACTTACGTTCTGTGTTGGAGTTTACTGCAAATTGGATGGGCGTTTAGTAACGGTTTTTTCGGGGGAGTTAACATAGGGGGGTTGCACGATTTGACGGTAATAGGGGAGGGGCTTGAAGGCGCTTTTGCAGTTTTAGTATGTTTTAAAGACTTTGGTAAGCTTGAAAGATTTATTGAGCATTGAGAAAGCAAAAGACTATTTCAAAAGTTGTCGTAGCGCAGTGTCTGCACACACCGTGTTGTGCAAACACTCACACGACAACTTACGGACCATCAATGTATCGAAGATTACTGGAAAGATTTTTTAACTGAATTTTTTTCTGTTTCTGAGTATCCATGAGTTAGGGAGATCTCTAGTTTTTCAGTTCTCCGTTTCTAAGTTTATGTGAAAAAAATTCAAAAGGCAACATATTCCAAATCTATGGCTTATTTGGGGATTTTTTTCTGTTTCTTGAACCTAATAATTTTTCCACAGAGAATTGTTTCAATAGTCCCTCTCCTATATTATGGAAGCGCCGTCAAGCCCCTGGTCCAGGAACCAAATACTTTCAAAAAATACCTTGGCTGTGTGACATGATGTCCAATTGGCACATTATCAGCATGTCCGTTCTCCAACATCGCCACTCCAGAATTATCGTAGTTGGCAGTATGGATTGGATGATTCTGGGCACGTCGTACAAGCTCTTCCAAATTGTCCTCTGGTCCAGCTCCATGCAGTGGTTGTTGTTGGAACTGTCCAGAGATCGAACCGGCTCGTGGAGCGATACCCAGTGGTTGTGAGTGGGATTGTGCAATTGGTGATGACGTGGCAACTGGTGCAATCCGCGCGAACTCTTTTTCTGGGGACATTCCACCAGAGTTCACCTTTGGAATGGCTCCACCGTTCTCGAGCTCTTGACTGCGTTGGAGAAGCTGAAAGAATGCAAATGATTATGATTGAAAGGAAAAATGAACGGAAGAATGAATCTAAATGTTTTGATTTGACCACTACACAACGCTTCCAACTTTTTTTTTGCTGCTCTCTTTTTCATCATAATCTTTGTAAGAAGAAGAAATCAAACGAAGAAATGCTCTGAGTGTACGAACCACATGTCTTTGTGGCTAACGGTGTACTCGAGAGGGCACTCTCTCTGTTGGCTTATGATGTGTGTGAGCTTCTGGAGCATTTTCTAAAAAGAAGAAGAAATGTGATGAGATGGGCCGGGAGAATGTGAATGTGAAATGTGTGGAAAATAGGCACAAGGAGGAAGGATCGATTTTCAAAATAAATGGACTCTTTTCCGGTCTTTTATTCTTCTTCTTCTTCGCGCCTTTTCTCCCTTCTTCATCTTCATCTTCGTGTCTCATGCAATTTCTTCATCATGGATCTCTATTTTTTTTCGATTCGTTTTGTTTTGAAATTCTTCACAAAAGCCGCATATCCCTACATTCTTTGTTTATGAGGAAAAATTGTTGAAAAAAATGGAAAGGAAGAAAAATGGAATGAGGTGTTCTAGTGCGGTGGGGGGGGGGGGGGGGGCTATCTTATCTTTTATGGTATTTTTATTGCATGGGCAAGCGGGCTCTTTTGATTTGCATAATGTTTGTTCGATGATCGATTATGCACCGGTACATAGGAAATACAAAAACATATTTTCTGTTGATTTTTTACCATTTTTAGGAGTCTGGGGCTCGGCTGTTAAGCTTCGAATCACTTTGAAAACTTTGGAGGGTGTAAAACAAACTAAATTCAAAACTTTGCATTCGCAGGATTTTTTTAGAATTTCTAGTTTTTCAGTTATTTGCCGATTTCTGAAGGACACCCCATTTTGGCGCGGACCTTTCAAAATGGCTGAAAATCAACTGAAAAATACGTTTTTGCATATCTTATTGACCGGTACTGTACAGTAGCAATTCTAAAACCCTTTCCAAAAAGTTCCGATTTCTCACCTGTTCTCCAGTGTGGATCATATGCACTCCGGTAGAATCGTGCAATGTTTCAGCCATATTATCCGAGAAGTCCTTCGCGTGAGCAGCCGCTGCTTCATGCTCAGCCGCCTGTCCTTCATCTTCCGATTCGGAGAACATTGTCTCGTTCATCGCCTCCGGATTCTGTGGTTTGTATCGTTCGTCGACAGTCGTTGTCTCTGTGATGACTGTCGTTTCGGTGACTGTTCGGAGCGTTTCCACGACGGAAACGTATCCAAGTCGTTGGGCAATCGCGAGAGGAGTTTGACCGGTCTGAAAATTTTCAATTATTAGTGCAAAAGTTTTCAGTTTCATATGTTTGTTATATTTTAAATTTTAAAATTAAAAACACTGCAACCTATTTACTGTTTGCATCAATACTTTCAAAACTGAAAACTTTGAGAATACTAGACTGCCGTTTTGGAGATTCCCAAAACGTCCCCGAAAGACGAAGTATGATGATTTGATGAATGGGTCCAAAAGCTTAGAAAGGCTTACCGCAGTTTGCTCGTTCGGCGATGCTCCATTCTCAAGAAGGTATCGGACGCAGTTGTTGTGACCCTGTTGGGCGGCCTGATGGAGTGGAGTGTATGAAGCACGAGTCTTTTCTCCTGGAAAAAATGATAATTGATTTTCAGGTAACTAACAATAAAAGTAAATTGTGAAATTTCAACTCACCAACATCAGCTCCATGCTCAACCAGGAACCTAACCATATTGAGTTGTCCGAAATGGCAAGCCACGTGGAGTGGAGTGTATCCGGCGTTCGTTTTGCTGTTGATTTCTGATCCAGAATCAACAAGAATCTGAGCAACTGGTACATGATCTTCCTGAGCACACAGATGTAATGGTGTGAGTCCGTTGTTGGCTTTCGCTCCAACATCAGATCCATTCTCGATGAGAAGTCCAGAAATTTCTTTATGTCCTTCTTGAGCAGCAAGGTGGAGTGGTGTGAATCCGGCTCTTGATTTTGCATTTGGATCTGCTTTGAACTGTAATAATGTTGATGCAATCTCCATTTGATTCTTCTTCGCTGCGATATGTAACGGTGTGTATCCATTCTTAGCTGATGCTTTTGCCGAAGCCCCATTCTCGAGTAGAAGCATTGCCACCTTGTCATTGTTGTAGTGAGCGGCCACGTGGAGTGGTGTGACCTGATTTTTTCCTTCGATATCAACTGGAGTACCCCGTTCCAGAAGAAGTCGAACGACTTGAAGGTTTCCATACTTGGATGCCAGATGTAATGGTGTGAATCCTTTCTTTGTGAGGAGATTCTTATCAGCATTGTGATCCAGAAGAATGCCCACAACTTCTTCTTGACCTGAAAACGTAAAGTTTTGTGATTGAAAAAACACATTTACTGTTTCTGTTTTGTTATATTGTCGGAGAAAATACATTTTTACCAATGATGTATCCATCCAACAATGTATTCATTAAGACCCTTACCTTCTTTAGCCGCAATATGGAGTGGTGAATAATGATCTCTTGTCGTTGCATTTGAATTAGCCCCAGCTTGCAACAAAAGCACAACAATGTCAGTGTTCCCCAGACGACTGGCAATGTGAAGAGGTGTTTGTAGTTCTCGTGCTTGTGCATCAACCTTGGCCCCATTTCGAATGAGCACACGAACGACGTCTGTCTGATTGGCACGTGCTGCCAAATGAAGAGGAGTTTCCCCACGGACTGTCTCGACATCTGGATTGGCACCTTGTTGAAGTAAATAGATGACAATGTTAATTGCTCCCATGAACGCGGCCACGTGCAACGGAGTCAACCCCGATTCCGTTGTTGCCTCGATGGCGGCGCGGTACTTGAGAAGAAGTTCGACGACCTTGATTCTGTTCTTCTTACAGGCGATGTGAAGTGGAGTGAATCCATTGAGAGCTCGAGAGTTTGGATCGGCGGATCTATCCAAAAGAAGCTTGGCGACTCTGACATGTCCACAGTGAGCTGCGACATGAAGAGGTGTCAAGTAATCAACAGTGACGTCATCAACTGGAGCACGATGGTATAGAAGAGTTCTGGCAGCATCCACATGGTCTCCCTGAGCAGCCATATGCAATGGAGCCAGTCCATTCTTAGTTTTTGCTGAGATTGGAGCTCCTTGGACAACAAGAAGATCCACAACTTGATCGTGTCCTGAACGGGCCGCACAATGAAGTGGAGTAAGGAGATCTTTGGTTCTGGAATCGATGATGGCTCCGCGAGCAAGCAAAACATTGGCCATGTTGATTCGTCCCCATTTTGTTGCAACGTGGAGTGGACTGAAAAGAATAGAAGCATTTTTAGTTGATGAAGAAAAGCGCGGAGACTTCTTTGGAAGACGATGTCTTTGTATGTGACACAATTTGAAGAAGTGCACACTTGGGCACCAGAAGTGTCCCCAGAGACATTCTTCTTTTCTTTATTCTTGTAAGGAGTAGACTCTTAGTTTTCTGTCTCTCCTTTCACATAAATTGCATTATACAAAAAGACACGAAAAAATGCAAACGGAGCACATGGGGCTCATTTGAGACCTCGTGATACTAATTAGTGATAAAATAAAGGGGTCAGATTCTCTTCGAAAGTATCTTCTTACATTTTTTGTGTTTCTTCAGCATTTATAAAATTAGCACCATAACAGAAACACTTACCTAATATTGTGTCTAGCTTGATAGTTAACATTTGCTCCTTTGTCCAACAACAACGTTCCGACATTCTCATGACCATAATGAGCAGCAATATGGAGAGGAGTGAATCCTGACTTTGATGTGACATCTGGATTGTGTTCGTTCTGAAAATCAAAGAATCTAGAACCCTGTCAATTTTAATTTTTGATACCTGGAGTAAAAGTGTGGCTGCTTTCGTGTCGTCCTTCTTTGCAGCAATATGAAGTGCCGGAAGTCGTACTTTTCCTTTAGCGTCGTTCTCCAGAAGAACAGCCACAACACGATCGTGTCCTTGTTGAAGGGCTACTGCCAATGGTGTGAATCCGTCTTCAGTTGAGAGTGCTTGATTGGCTCCGTGATTCAGAAGATATCGAACAACGTCTTCATGATTTTCCTGTGCAGCCATGTAGAGTGGAGTGAAGCCATTGACTGATTGAACATTGACATTGGCTCCATTTTCGACAAGGATCGTGACGATGAGGGATTGTCCAGCAAGGGAGGCAATGTGAAGTGCGGTGTTTCCTTTCTGGAATTTTTTTGGTTGACTCCATTCTCCAAACTTTTAAAGGTATTTCAAAGACACACTATTTCAGTAACTTTTGAAATAGTTTCGAGATATTTCAAAAGTGATAATTTCGTTAAAATATCTTCAAACAAAAAACTCACCCTAGTAGCTGCATCAACTTGTGCTTGTCTCTTGATCAACTCTCTAACCACTTCCGAATGCCCTTCTTTTGATGCCAAATGCAACGAATTCAATCCATTCGCATTGCTCGTATTGATGTCAGTTCCGGCTCGAAGCAATTCGAGAACTTTCTCCAAGTCTCCAGCACGGGCGGCACGAAGAAACGACGCCGAACCTTCTGCCCGACCACCTTCCGGCTGTGGAGCAGCTGGAGTCGGTTGAGCTTCTGGCTCCGATTGTTGGGATGTCGGCGGTGGATCGCCCTCGTTCATCATCACTGATGGGGGAGATGATAGATCTGCAAATTTAGAGCATTGATTGGAAGAACAAGAATAATTTGTATAAAATGTAACAAAACTATAAAAGAAAGTTGAAACAGAAACTGATATGTGTCTTTTCTCTCTTCTTATTCAGAGGAGCAAAGACGAAGGGAAAAGGGAAATTTGATGCCACCACTGGGGAGGAAGAGGGGCTCAAATTGGGCAAGAAGGGGATGGAATCGAGGAAGAAGAAGACGATGCAAAAGAAGAAGACATTCTTCTATTCCGGAGGGAAAATGAAATGGAAAAAGAGATGGGGGAAACATGGTTAGAACTATGTATGGGTTCGGAAAGAAGAAAATTCCGGATCACGAACTTTTCGTTTTTTTTGAGATGAAAAAGAATTGGGTCAGAGGGTGTTTCTAAACAAAACGGGTAATTTTTTTCAGAAATTTTGTTATTGGGATTCAGGCTGGATTACCGATGACCTATATTTAGAAAAACAGAACATTTTGAAACGGTAAATTATTTTTAAACTATAATTAATTGCTCATTTATTTATAGAAAACCTGAAAATTTTAAGAATCCGAACTTTTAACAAAGTAACTTGAAAATTGGCAAAACAATCAATTTGTATCTGGATTCGATGAAAATTGTTTTTTCTGTTTTAGGTGGTAATTAAATAATTGGAAAGGTTCATTTTCTACTTGGAATCGGAACCCGTAGTTTAAAAATCATTTAAAACTTTGCTTTTGGAAAAATCTATTCCCAAAATGTATTTTAATTTGTGTATTGCTTCAAAATGAAAACAAAAATTTAGAAGCTACAGATTTTGGAAAATCGTCTAATTCTTACTTTAGAATTGAAAATAGTGGACTCAATGACATTGGAATCTGTGGACTTTTAAAACATGTACTCTGAAACCGTTTTTTTTTTTTTCAAATTTCAAATACACAGTTTTTCGTACTAACAATACATTTTCCAAATTTTTAATTTCGAAGACATGTGAACCATCAAAAATAATTCCACCCTAATAAACTAAAAGAACTACTAAACAAAAAAAACTTTCAAAAAATATAAATTCTCTGACACAGTAACCAAAAGGTCCAATTGGATCTATTTCCAACTCAAAAACCTATAAATTCTGAATGAAACTGGATATCCTAAATAAAAAAGAGCACATTTTCCATAGAAATGGGATGCTAGTGTACTAGTGCGTCCTCGTATTTCTACGAGAAGCGGAAGCTATAAAACTGAATGGGTGGCAGCGCGGGATGACTTAGGTACTGATTTTCTTGTTCCTTAGGAACAAGGAAAAAGGAGAATCGACATAAAAAGGTCCCTCCCCAAAAAGGAAAAGAGCACATGTGCTCGATTTTCCAAAAGAGACTCTGAGCTCTTGCTCTTTTTTCCCGTTAGTAAAGAGCACTGAGGGAGGTCTCTTTCTTTTTCTCTCTCTCCCACACTAGCATACACAAATCAACAAATTTGTGCTGCCCTGTCTCCTCAACCCACTACCCCACCCTTTTCTTTTCCTCTTTTGGGGCTCTCTTGGAGCTCTTGGAGCAAGAGCAATAGAGTGGAAGAGAGATCAGAAGAGCGTGTGATGGGTCGAGAGACGTAGACATTCAGAAAGAGAGCTTTTGCCTGTGCTTGGTCCCCGGGTCTACCCAATGGCAAGTGTATGTACGGGGTGTTGGGGGTGAAGAGGGGAGACGGACTCCCTCTCCCAGAGGGTCCCAAACTCGAAACATTGGGTATTTTATGGAGGGAACGAGGATTGTTTAGGCCACGCCCCCATTCACCCCCGGAGAGAGAAAGAGAAAGCTCGTTGGCTCCCCGTCCCAACTCTCTCTTCTTCCCGGGGTGGTGCCCGTCCTTTCCAGTAGTAAATTTTCGGGGATCGAGAAATAGTGTACCGATCAGGGAGAGTTTGCCAGACACTCACAGATTGGATATCACTTTGCAAGAAGCATTCAAAAGAGAGATTTCGAGAGAGCGAGAAGCTAGAGTAGCCATTGGCAATGCAAGAAAAGATTTAGTGGCAATGAGTCAAAGTCAACCTAGACAACAGGCATCAGGGAGGACGGGGAGGGTTTTTGGCTTTTTGACGAGATAATTACGTAACAGCCAACGAAAAACGAAATGTTGGGGTTGGGATTGAATATCGGAGAGGTGTGGGTGGTGGTCAAGAAGTTACGAAAACAGATGTATGAGTTAGGGGGCGGAGTCTCTGGATTTCTTTTAAAGTAAGAGAAAGAAATGATTGGGTAGAAGGCCACAGAGCTGAGAAAATGAAATCCGTGAAACAGTAACCAAAAGAAACAAGGGGGTTACCGTGAAACCTGGAATAGAAGGGTCCCCTGTCCTTTGAGCCAAATTATCTTGGTTCCTGTCAAAGATATGCAAAAGTTGTCAACTGATAAACTGTTTACCATAAAATCAGAAGTGTTTTGCCAGTTGACAGATTTTTGATATCACTCATAGGAAGTGAGATAATTGAGCTCAAACTTGACAGTGTGTGGGGCCCTTTTATTACAGGTTTTACAGTAGTCTCCGAATTTCAAATGTTCAGTAGCTTTCAGGTTCCAATTTATTAGAGAACACAATGCATTATCTACGGAATTGAACGAAAGCAAGGATACAGCTTCTCAAAGTTTCACAAATGTTCAAAAAACCTATGAAATTCAAGCAATTTCTGATATTCCCAGTTTTATCAGCCATCACTAATCGCTTTGTAAAATTAGTAAGTTCCTCAAAACTGCGAACATATAATGCCCTTTGCAACAAAAAATATCAAAAAACACCAGATAGAAATAAAAAAATAGAAACCGCAAAGTTATTATTATGAAACTTCAAGTGGTGTGGCGTTTGTTGGTTGTGATTCAGATTCATTTCATTTCAGGACCAATTTCTCCTCTTCCAAAAGGGTCAAAATGTCCTTGTATACTTACTGTATATGTACTTTAGGTACAGGAGAACGACAATTAGTGACCGAACGGAATTGAAATAGGGGAAAAAGAGAGAGAGAATTGGGAGGATGAAATGAGATGCGAATTGAATTAATTCTGGGTGACGTGGCACAGGGATTCTCCTGGAAGAAGACTGGTAGACCACTAAAAAAGCTAGATTAAATCGCGCCGAAGGCGCACCAGCTTGCTGGTTGTAGAACATTTCAAACTCTGAAACTCTATGAAAAATGAAAAAGAGGACTGTGAAAAATATCAATGTTTCTCTTTTCGCTTTCTATTTTTTTTCTTTTTTCTCCCATAAAAGTTTCGCCCCGCTCAAAACTTCCTTTTTTTTGGTATGATGTGAAAGTGTTCCTTGCCACAAAAGGTTCACACATTATTTGGCAACAACCTTTTCAGAAAATAGTGTGTAGGTTAAAGAGAAGACACTGACGACGCAACATCAAAAGTGTCGAAGTTGTCGCTTCGAATCAGAATTCTTGGTTGAAAAAGAGAGAAGCAAACCAGTTGATCTTTTGTCTCGTTCTCTGCGCTTCTCTTTTCTCCAAATAATAACTATTTTTTGGGTGTGGAGATAGAGAGAAACAGAATAAACATGTAAATAAATAAAGGATTTTTTTCTGGGATCGGCTCAGCTTTTCGACTGGAAACGACGAGAAGGGATAGACTGTATGATTCCAGGAGACGCAGAGAATCATTCCCAACACGCAATTGTTGCATAAACGAACATTTTGGTGCTGTTGGAGGGCAGTATGGCGGCGTCGACCGGAAAGGAAAAAGGAAACTGAGGACTTGGGCAAGAAAAAAGAAAGAGAGCGACTGGGCCAAGTTTTGTTAGAGTCAATTTGGATGGACCAGACGGATTAGGAAGGAGGCTGGGTGGATAGAAAAAATCACTTAATTGAAACGGAAAACTCTTGAATATTCTGATCAGCTTTTTAATAGAGATCTACTATGAAAATTTGTTTAAGGCACCTTGAGAAAACTTATTGTTAACAGTTCTTTCGAAAACGTTTTGAACACTAATCGAACCCTATACTTGAATTTGAGCTTAATTATATTACTTCCTGTGAGAGATATCAAAATTTCGTCAACTGATAGAAGATTTGTCATAATATTGTCAATATTTTATCAGTTGACAACTTTCTGATATTTCTCATAGGAACCGATATAATTGAGCTCAAAATGTGAGTCTAAGGTGGCGTAGTACTAGAACAGGTACGGTAGATTATGTCAAGAAAATTTGATAGAAATTTTAATTTTTGCACTGTAGAACATCAAAAAAGCAATCTGCTAACAATCAAAAATGGCTAACGGGAAATTCGAAAATCCTAGAACCCATTTTATTCTCCTAAACTCTTCTCTATCTCGAATCTAGGCTCCCAAAAACAACAAAAAAAACTATCTCTCGTGACATTTTTTCGCCAGTATCGCTTCTAGCCGAAAAGGCCCCATCTAATTTTCTTTATTCACTTCTTTTTCTCTTTTTTTCGTCTTTTCTTGGTGTCTCTAAACAACAAAAAACGAGTCGGACGGAGCCTCATCTGCTTTGAATATATCCAGAGTCAGTTCCATCACCGACACTTCTTTTTTTGCTCCAGAAAACAGAAAAAACGGCTTGGGGTTTTTTGGGAGAGAGGCGGAGGGAGTGGTTTTGGAATTTTGATTGGGGATTCGAAAAAAAAGAAGGGTTCTGATCTCCAGAGTGAAACAACGCCACCGGAAATACCGTACACCCTGCAATGGAAGGGCACCACACTGTCGAATTTGAGCTCTATTATCTCAATTTGTATGGAAAGTGTCAAAAACTTGTCAACTGATAAAATGTAGGTGATATTACGACAAAAATTTTTTCAGTTGGCAGTTATTACTGAATGTTTTTTTGTTATTTTGATATAGTTTTTATATTTTGATAATAAATAACTGAAACAGTAAAAAGTTTTTTGTCTAACCGAATTTTTTCCGATTTTTTTGCTTAAATCCTAGCACAAAAATCTACAGTACATATCTCCCCAAAATCTCTAGATTACGCTCATTTTTAAG